CCCCCCCCCCCCCCCCCCCCCGCCCGTGGTCGTGTCTGTTGATGCTCACGCGTGTTTTGGGTTGCCGCACGCACCCTCGATTGGGCAGGGGAACGTGAGTCAAAACGCAGTGCCTGTTCGTGCGCCACGCCCCTCACTCACTCCTTGATACCGCAGCACAACTGACACAGCAAACAGCAAGAAAAAAGCACACGCCGCACAGCAACACAATCACACAACGCTTGGCGTAGGGTAGGGGCGAAGGGAGGAAGTCCAGCGGCGTGTACTTCCAGCGGCGGATATCAGTGAGCCTGAACGTCTGCCCTCAGAACGATCTACCAGATCATCCATCCCTGTCTGTCTCCGTCGCAAGCGGCCTTGGCGAACGCGAAAAAAAAAAAAAAACAACAAGCACAACACCTCGAGTAGAAGTTCCGTCCGTACTCCCGCCAGTGGCCCTCCACGATCTCCTGCACCCCGATAAGCGGCGCTGGTCCCGCCGTCCCGCCGTCCCCCGCCGTCCCCACCTTGTTGCGGTGGGCGATGATGGACATCCACGCGAGCACCGCCCACAGCCCGTCCTTCTCCCTGACGTGGTCGGAGCCCGTGCCGAAGCTCTCCTCGCCGCACAGGAAAGGGAAGTAGGACCGCTCATGCCCCATCTCCTTGGCATCCATCAGGTTTCTGGGTTGTGTCGTGGTACCGCGTGTGTGTGAGCGTGTATGTGTTTATGGGTCGAACGGGGACATGGCGGGTGGGGTGTGTGTGTTAGCGACAGGATCTGGGCAGGTGGGCACACACAGCAACAACAACAACGCAGGCACCACGATGACGAAAGCACACGCACACAAATCTCACCAACGATTTCTCGACTGGAACCCGTGAGCGGGCGTCTCGAAGCACGGGTATTCTCGGTACTACACAGGCGTGTCGGGCACACACATACACGTGACATCGCATATCTCACACTACAAACATGATCGTGAAATTACATATCCCACGCTTGTATAAACACGATCGTGGCATCATCTACCCCACACGACCGACCCCCCCCCCCCCCCCCCCCCCCCCCCCCCCCCCCCCCCCCCCCCCCCCCCCCCCCCCCCCCCCCCCCCCCCCCCCCC